CCCAAGTCGCGCACCCAGCTCACGGCGCGCGGCCCGAGGGCTGGCAGGAGACCTCTGTGGGGAACTGAGACCAGCGACGAATCGGTGAATCCGCCACCGAAGCAGTGTTTGTCAGGGGTGTGCACTCGCTTCCCTGCCTCTCCTACAGTGGGAGAGATGGCGAGTGGGCCGAGTGGGTCATTAGCTCTTACGTAAGGAGGTCAGCAGTGGATTCTTTCATCCTGCCAGAAGCTGACCTCCCGCCAGGGCGGGGGAGCTGGGCGAATCGGATTTACTCTGTGTGGTTCAACAAGTGCTTGTGGGGGCCCGTAGTGTGTGCCAGGCGTTTTGAAGCACGCCCGAGTCTGAACCCCGGAGGTTAGAGCCGGAGTTTTGTTTTTTGGGTTTTTTTTTTCTTCCCACCCAACGTTGCTTAAATGGAGAAATCTCTTCTTTCATGAAAGCATGTATTGGAATCTCTGTTGCGGGTCTACTGTGTGCGGGGTACTGAGAAGAGCGCACACGAGGATAGTGTTCCACATCCTGTGCTCCAGAGCCAGCCAGCGTCAGAGAAATGGCGTGCCATGGAGAGATGCATTTTATAGTAGACACCATGTGGCAGCTGGTAGGAGTATGAGGTTTGGAGACACCAACAGGTGCCAAGTTATGAACCTATTTTCTTTCCATCTGCCCCCCCTCCTCCTCCTTCTTCTTCTTCTTCTTCTCTCTCTCTCTCTCTCTCTCTCTCTCTCTCTCTCTGACCCCCACGAGCCTGAGAGTCTGACTTTATGTTTTTTTCCGAAGTGTATTGGTACATTTCAGGTATACAATACAGTTACCTTCATCATTGGGATCTTTTACCTTTACATGATGTATATTGGTTCGTATTTTTACTTCGTTCTCCTGCCCTCCCTTCACCCCCTCCAACCTTTCCTATTTACAAAGATTTTGTTTCCATGTTTTTCCATTTCTCATATTTTTTTATTTTCCCTTCTTTCCCCTACCCCTCCCACTTCCCTTACTCCTTTAGACCTTTCTTCCTATTTCACATTATCAATTATACCACTTGAACTTTATTTATGCCTTTAGTTTTTCACACCAGAGAAACTGTTCGGTATTTACACATTGTCCTATTTATTTCACTTAAGAGTAGAAGCTCAATGTGTATCAGCTTAGCTATAAATGTCTCTAGTTTCTTGTTCTTTACGGAGAGAGCCCACTTCAAGTGGGGCCTGATATTCCTTCACCCCCACTCTCCTACAGGCCACTTAGTCCACCTCTAAAGGGCCTATTGGATTGTTTTCTGCTGTCCATTCCTACTGCTGCAAGCCTACTTTGTCCAACCAGCTGTTCCACAAATGTGTGTGGAGCACCTATTCCAGGTTCTTGACTAAGGCCACTAGATTATTGCTGAACTCAATAAGCAGAAATCTAGTTCCCTGCATATCTTCTCACCATGAGCTACCTAAACATGCTCTTAATTACATCCAATGTCTCCTATATCCCACTTCCATGCTGATTTTGTCAAGAAACTAAAACTATCTCCTCTCATCACATGTGCTGTTCTATTGTTCAAAACAGTAGAAAAGCCTGTCCTATTTAACATTGCCTCCCATGGTGCCTGAAATTATTCTGTACATCCAGGTCCTCTTCAGGAGCAAGATGCTATCCCTATACTAAGCCACTGTTCCAGCAGCTTCCACCAGTTGGCAATTATAGAGAGATGAGTTGTAGCCCCCAAAAGACACACTCAACACCTGACCTGCAGTGCCTGTGACTGTGACCTTATTTGGAAGTAAAGTCTTTGCAAAAATAACAAGTTAAAATATAGTCCTCTTAAGAGAGAGTGGGGTCTGTGTAAGAGAAAAGAGAGGGAGATTTGGACACACACGCACACACACACACACACACACACAGAGTTAGTTCCATATGAAAATAGAGGCAGAGATTCAAGTGATGTGCCTGCAAGCCAAGGTAGCCGAGGATTGCTGATAGCTACAAGAAGCTATGAAGAGGCAAGGAAGGATTCCCTAGAGACTTCAGGGAGACGATGGCTCTGCTAACACCTTGAATTTGGACATTTAGCCTCTCTAATAAATTTCTGACGTTTTACAACACCCAGTACTAAGTTATTATGGCAGTCTTACAAAACAAATGCAGGAATTACAGAAATGAATCTTCCCTCCTCCAATTCTTTTTCTCCTTCATTCTCTACCACATCACGAAAGCCTGGAATGCCTAAGAAAGTGTGCTTTTGATGGAAAGGTAATGAGGAATGTAATGCAGGCTTTGGTTCGAGAGCCCAGGACAGACACGTTGAAGGCATCTTTGAGAGCAATTAACTTGGCACTTGTCTGTCCGTGCAGAGGGCTGCTGCAGTCATCCAGATGAGGGGTGATGATGATGTTATCAAAGCCGATGATGGCGCAGATGGAGCAGAAGACACAGAGGCAGGACTTGTTATGGAGATAAAAATGGGCTGATTTAGCCACCAGTCAGATGTGAGGATTGAGGGGAGCAAAAAATAGTGCTAACTGGGAGCAGAACTGGAAGGGTAATACACTAGAACCCCATGCATGGACAAGGACAATGAGTCAATGCGGGAGGGACATGATTAAGTTGGTAAAGTGTCCACTGGTGCTTTGCAGAGTGGGCCTTCTTTGTGCTTTTCCAACCTTTTAGTCCGCACTGCTGCTGCTGCTTCCACTTTTCCCTCCTCCTCCTCTTCCTCCTCCTCCTCTTCTTCCTCTTCCCCTTCTCCCTTCTCTCTTTTTCCTTTTTCCTTCTTCCTTCTTCTCCCTCTTCTTTTTTTATACCAGAAACTGAACTCATGGACTTGCACTCGTCAGACAAGTACTGTGCCACTGAGCTACATTCCTGGTCCAAATCTTTAAAGTTAGGACATAGTCTTTAAAATATTTTACCTTGGCTTATTAGGTATTCTATTTTAGAAGCTATCTTCTGAGTTCTTCTAGACCCTTTTATAACAGCTCCCCAAGCTGTCACGTCTTAGTCACTTTTCTCATTGCTGGAGTGAAAGACCTGGCACAATTTAAAGGAGAAAAGGTTTGTTTTTGGCTCAGATTTACAGTCCCTGGTCAGCTGACTCCAAGGCAGGGCCTGAGAGGACAAAATCTGCTCCTCCTTTCAGGACCAGGAAGCAGAGAGAGAAGGGAGGAGCCAGGGAGGGTGATTTACCCTTCCAGGTCTTGCCCCAGGGAGCTGCCTCTTGCGAGCTGGCCCCATCTCTGAGCATGAATATTTAGGGGGACATTTCAGACCCCTTTTCTGCTTGAATGTCTAGTGCTCAACTTGGAAGAAGAGCCGAACATGCCATTGATGACTCCTAAAGTTCTGTACTTAGAGAAGTCCTCCATGACGAAGCAAATTTCCCTGTCAATTCTAACTGGCAATCAAAGTGCGGCCTCCTAAAGCTTCACACTCCAACTCTAACTCTTCTTGTACATCAAGCCCTTTGGATATTTATATTTGAAGATGGCTCTTGTGACCTTCTGAAGACTTCTGTGTTATTGTGACTGCTGTCGAATAATAAATCTTCCTCAAGACAGAAGCTCCAAACAACCATCATATAACCTGTCCTACAGTTTCTGTAGGTCAGGAACTTCATGAGGAAGGGCTCACATGGGTAATCCTGGCACATGGTTCTAATACAAGATTGCATTTAGATGGTGACTAAAGCTGGAGCTGGCCAGGCATTTCTCCCTCTCTGAGTCCTGTCTGGTCTTCTCCATATAGTCTCTCTGCAGGGGCAGGTGGATCTTGAGTGTCTGCTAAATGCCCTATGTTAAAGGCTTGGTCTTCAGCCCATAACACTACGGAGGTCGTAAAAGCCTTGGGGAGATGAGACCTAGCGAAGAAAATGAGGGCACTGCAGGTGTGGCATGGAAGAAGATATTAAGACCCTGACACTTTCCCTTCCTCTTACTTTGCTCTCCTTGGCTGCCTTCAGGTGAGCAGCTTTGCTGTATCAGATTCTCCCTCCCATTAACGCTCTGCCTCACCAATAGGTCAGACAGCAGCAGAGCCAACAGACTATGAACTGAAACCTCTGAAACTGTGCGTCAAAATAAACCTTTCCTCTTTGAATTGTTTATCTCAGGAGTTTTGTCACAGTGACACAAAGCTGGCTGAGGCTCTCTCGGAGCATAGCAATTGGGTTCCACAGTGAGCATTTCGAGGGTGCTGGTGGGGGGGCTCTCATCTTTTACAACTTAATCTCGGGAATCATAACGTCACTTCTGCCATAGACCCACATCTACTAAATTCAAGAAGAAACCCGTAGCCCCCTTACTTCAGTGGGAGAAATGTCAACATTTTATTTTAGGAAGAGCATGCAGAGTGGAAG